ATTGTATGTATCTGGGGCAAATCTTGTGGAATGGTATGCTACTTACACACATCTCATACAGACAGCGTTCAGTGGCCTTACATTGGCAACGTGCAATCAGCCATGATGGGAGTAGCTACACTACAGATCATCAAACACTGCAAATCAGAGATTGACCTATTGTTTTGTTGTTCCCCTAGACCAGGGATCAACAAACTACAAGCCAAATCTGGCCCACCACCAGTTTTTAATAAAGATTTATTGGAACACAGCCACACTCATTCATTTGCTTATTGTTCTGAGGCATTTTGTACTACAATAGCAGAGTTGAGCATTTGCAGTGAAGGCTGTCTAGCCCCCAAAGCCTAAAATGTTTACTATTTGGCCCCTCAGGAGAAGCTGGCACACTCTCAGGGAGCTAAGCACACACCTGGAATAGGAGTGACAAAAACTGGAGGATCTGGTGAAAGCTGGAGGAGCGGCGGGCCCAGCTGCTTCCCCCCCCCCCCCCCCACAGCCAACAGGGTGAGCTAGCAAGTTAGGGTCTCCGTGGGTGAGCTGCAACTGCTCCTGGTGGCCCTGCGCCCACCTTCCTAGCGGAAAAGGATACAACTCCTGTTTCATGTCCACTCTCCAAATCTTGCACAAAATGTCACCTGTGGACCTCGCTATGTCAGGACCGCAGGGAAGAGGATTCTGGGAAACATGGTTTCAGTTTAGCTAAAAGGACACTGTGCAAATCCCCTGCAGCTCCAGATGTTAACTTGAATATCATACCCATGGAGGCCAATTAGCATCCGAGACCGTTAGCGATGAAAGTCCACACTCCGGAGGCCCTCAGACTTGTGCTGTGGTTATTTCCCCCAACCCAGAATTCATTGGGAGATGAGTACTCAGTAGCTGGCAGAATCCTCCCCAAGTGGAAATCCCTGGAATTGTCCTCCTACTCCCGCCAAGTTACAAACCAAAAGCAATACCAGAACCCTGTAGAAACTGCAGAGGTGAGCGCCTCCATCCAGGACGTGAGGATGCAAGGGTAGCGATTCCAGCCACATACCCTTGTAACTCACCTTTTTGCAGACGAAAAAGGAAACTTAATGATGTGCTGAGCCAATCACAGCCACAGTTCTCGGTTTGATCTTTACTGGAGAAAATTAATATAAACCCCAGCGACTGGTGTGCGGCTCTTGAACTCATGTTTTCTCTTACATGCCCATGAGTGTGGGGAATTACACTCCGTTTGCATTTACATGTCTTTACTGCCTTGCCCTGGGTTTTGAAACTCTTCTGCAAACTGCAAGGTCCAGAGTCATGATCGTCTTAACCACACAGAGAACACTATGCTGATACATTCAATTGAAGCCATGATGCTAACGGGACTCTGTGAGCAGGAAACAGCAAGCATCGTAGGTGCCTTAGACATATGTGTGCCAAAGTCAGAGATGAACTCTGTGCAAGTTCAAGGGCCTGCCATATCAGGAAAGTTCCTAGGGGACCAGATTCTTGGGAATGTCAGATACCTTCGTGTTGTTGTTGTTTTTAAATTGTTATTGTTTCAGAGAGGAAGGGAGAGGGAAAGAGAGAAATAGAAACATCAATGATGAGAGAGGATCATCGATCAGCTGCCTCCTGCACACCCCACACTGGGGATCAAACCCGCAACCTGGGGCACGTGCCCTGACTGGGAATTGAACCGTGACCTCCTGGTTCATGGGTCGATGCTCAACCACTGAGCCATGCTAGCTGGGCTGTCAGATATCTTCTAATGTGAGAGACAAGATCCTGTCCCCCATATCATACACCATAAACAGGAGCAATGTGTGGTATGTCTTTTGGGTTTTGGAGCCAACATATATAACCTTTAGACAAGGTGCTTTGACTCATTTACTAGGTAGCATATAAATCTGACTATGTTAGCTCTGGGTCTAAAAAAAAAGGCTCTTCAACAGTCCAAGCTGTGATACAAGCTGCCCTACACTTGGGCATGCTGCCTGGTAGATCCACGTGCCTGACTTAGGTGTCAGCCAAAGATGCCATGTGGTGCCTCTGGCAAGTCCCGAGAGGAGTATCATAGCTATGACCCGAGGAGCCGTGGCCTTGCTAGCCTCTGCCAACGATTCTTCTACCTTCTGGAAAGCAGCTTCAGGCTTGTGACTGAACCTTGATAAAGACTGAATGCCTGATTTATAGACACCAAGTGATTATCGGACCCAAATGTTCCTCATGAACCGAGTGTTCTCTGAGCCACGGAGTCGTGAGCTTGGGTTTGCACAGTGGCATCTCACTGGAAACTGGAGCGGTGTGTGCATCGCTGGGCCCAAGCACATCCAGAAGGCACAGTGAACCACCAAAGCGGGTGCTGGGAGTCCCCATGGCATTTGTTTCTATGGCTTCACCTCCTCTCCCTTAGTTTACACTCAATAGCTTCAAGGGGAAGAGGCGAAAGGACAGGTCTGATTTATGGAAGGCTTTGCACAGGAAGCCAGTGCCAGCCAGAGTGGACAGCTTCTGTGTACCGCCTATTTCGAGGGGTCCCTGGAAGATGGTGGTGACGGAAAGAAAAATCCTCCCCGTGGGCAGAATATCAGGCAGCACATGTGTTACCCACTTGGTGCAGAAGGAAGGGTGGCCTGTGGTGCAGACTGATAGGAACTCGTGAGCAGTATCTAATGGGCTGGCGATTTGCAGAGACTTGGAAAGAACACAGCTGGGAGCTTGATGCCATGATAGTCTAGGAGAGAGGCCTGTGGCTTCTTAGAATATAGCACAGAAGACATTCATGTCCCATGTAAATGCCCATCAGGAAGCAATCAGCGGAGGAGTCCTTACTAGATAAGATGGCCCAGCCTATAGATCCGATCAGCCTCTTTCCCCAAGAAAATTGGTGCTTTCTCTGTGAACCCATGGGAAGGGCAAAACCACAAGATTTCTGTATGTGATAGGAGGTTTCTCTGCTCTTTGTCCAGCTTTGCCATTGACCTGATGGCTCACGTTGGACCATTCCCTTCCCTTTTCTTGACCTTGGTTTCCTAATTTTACAATGAAGGGTTTAGACACAACGATCTCTGATTCTGAACTATATAGCCCAACAGGAGGCATTTGAAAATGAGGCCTGGGTGGGGGGCGGGGGCCTGCTGGTGACATCATAGAGGGGAGAATTCTGTGAGAGGAGTCGGGCTTTCCTGGAAACCCCATTGCCACAGGTTAGGTGAGAAGGACAAGCCAGGTAGGATCCTGCTAGGCCTATGCCTTGAACTCTTCTTGTTCAAGGGTTCCCAGCATAGTCATTGATTAACCTTCGATGGCAGCAAAGGCTCAAAATGAGACAGACACCAGTGACTTGGATGTGCCCTCCCAGCCCAGCTCATCAACCACGCACCACAGACCACGTCATAGTGGAGCTCATCGCCATCTTAGGCCCCATGGTCGCCGTCGCCATGGTGTGTCCCATCATCGTGGTGAATCTCACCTAGACTCCCCTGACAGTGCCTTCTCCCGCCACTCCCCCAACCCCTCCACAACCTTGGCCTCGAATGGGTCTCATGCCACTGACCTCTCCCACCATACCTATGAGAAGGTACCCATTCATGATGAGCACCGCCGTGGTAGCAGGAGACATCATGGTAGGCCCCAGCACGTTAGTGAATCCTACCACCCAAGGGGGTCCCACCACCATGGTGGGCTCCATCACGAAGGTGAGCCTTCCCTCTCTAAAGACGGCGCGTCCTCCGAGCTAGGTGAGTCCCATCACTCTGATGCTTACGACCACGGCAAGCGCCATCATCATATAACCCACCACCACAGAAGGCCTCTTCATCATGGAGAGAGCTCTTCCCACCATGGCATATCTCCAGACCCTAGCGAGCACCACCGCGGCCACTACAGTGACCACCACCATGGCCACCGTGGCCATCCTGGTGAGCACCACCGCAGAGAGCTCCGCCATGGGGAGCACCCTAGTGTCAGCTCCAGAGACTTGCACACAGGCCTCAGCGTGGCCGGAGTCAGCTCAATCTTTCTGCCTACCACGGCCCGCAAGCAGAGCACGGCCATCAGCTTGACGCGCTCCCACAGTGCAGTTCGCTCCCGTGCCTCCAAGAGCTCCAGCAGAGTCCATCCTCTGGAATCCTTATCTAGAATCTCAGAAAGCTTGACTGAAGATGAGGAAGTTCAGATGCACAAAAGTGAGTCTTTGCCCACCCCCCCACCACCACCCCCGTTCCAACTCCCACTGCCTGGCCCAGGCTGCAGATCTAACTCAGGCCCTGCACCAACCTTGCGCAGATCATGAGGCTTGACTCTCGCCTGGAAGAAACTTTTCATTGACTATTCACTCAACAGACTGTTCATCAGCCAATCTTTTCTTTGTAGAATTAGGCACCTCTTCAGGCCGTCGGTGGTTTGTTCACTCAGTCACTGCTTTCTTCATTTGCACGTTCACTTGTCCAGCATTTCCTCTTATCCAATATGGGTGCCTGGACTACTGGGGCCCAGGCAGCACAAGGAAGACCAGCCCTCAAGGGGCTCCAAGGCTGGAGGTGGTTACAACCAACCAACCCAGATCATCCAGTGATGGAGGCCTATCCTTCATGTCAGAACATTTGTGGATTCTATTTGTCCATATTTCCCACGCTAAGCCATGAGCTTCTTGAGGTCAGAGTCTGGGGAGCAGTGCCTGAATGAGGGCCATTTGAGGGCAGGGGGGACCTTGGCTGTTAATGCACAACCCCCCCCCAAACTTAACCCCTAGGAGCTCAGCAAACATGGCAACAGCCCCACAGACAAGCAGAGTGGAGTGAATGTCTAATGGAGGGGGTAGGGAAAGTAGCCCAGAGAAGATGTTTCAGCAGAATCTTCAAGGGAAAGGGAGAATTTACCAAGAGGATGGGGTGGTGTGGGGGATTGGGTTTTCCACAGGTAAGTTGCCATGTGAGTAAAGAAAGGCATGGGGGTGTGGGAACATGAGCCCTCAAAACATGTTCCAGCAGACCGACCCCAAGTCCCCCACAGGCGGGCCCCTACCATGGGAGGAGTTGGGCCTGTGGCCCAGTATCAGTTCATAGAGGCCCCTTCGGGAGTGGAAGGCAGGCAAGCAGGCAAGCATGAAGAATCCCAGCGCGGCTGACAGGAGGCCTGGCATCCCCGAGCCCCTCTTCACAGACTTGACTTTCTGGCCCCCTTATAGACAACAAAACCTCGCGGGGCCACAAGAAGGCGCACAGTGGGAACTTCTGCAGCAAGCTGTGTGAAAATTGTTGCTCCCACTTATTCGTTCTCCGGAAAATGCTCAGTGTCCTGACCCAGTCCCTGTTCTTTGACGCCTTCATCTTCATCGTTGTCTGCCTCAACATCATCATGCTTGTGGCCCAGACCTTCGCTGTGGTTGAGGTCCGGGGCGGTAAGACCCGGGGAACCCCGTTCATGTGGAGAAGGGTATTGACGATGTTTCAGACCTGCTGTCGGCCTGGCCCAGTGCCCACTGATTTTATTTATTTTTTTAAACACTTTTTTTAAAAAATTTTATTTTTATTGATTTCAGAGAAGAAGGGAGAGGGAGAGAGAGATAGAAACACCAACGATGAGAGAGACTTATTGATCGGCTGCCTCCTGCACATCCCCTACTGGGGATGGAGCCCGCAACCCAGGCATGTGCCCTTGACAGGAATCGAACCTGGGACCCTTCAGTCCACAGGCCAACGCTCTAGCCACAGAGCCAAACCAGCCAGGGCTGCCCACTGATTTTATATAAATTAGTAAAGCGGCTCAGAGAGAGAGAGCTGAGGTCAGCTAGGCAGCCGAGGACAGAAAGGCCAGCTAAACCAGAGGAGTGCTGTTTGTGGCTATGACCACTAGAGGGCGTATTTGCTCTAAATATGCTTTGCTGGGCAGCGTGGTGGGAACCCAGGTGGGCTAGAAGGGCCAGAAGATTCTGAGGAGACCCAGGAGGGGTGAGAGTGGCAGCCCTTAACACCCTGGGGAGCAGGGTGGAGGAAAGGGCAAAAACTAGAGAGAGAAGTAGAATGGCCGATGTTACTTGCATGGTCGCTGGTTTGGCTCCATTTTAAGCATTTTACTGTGTTCAATGCCTTTCATGCTCATGAAAAATATCGGGCAGGCTGTTATTATCGCCATTTTACAGACAGGAAAACTGAGGCACAGAGCAGTTAACACACACGGCTATTGGGGCAGAGTCAGGCTCTCCCTAAATGGCTGTGTGTAAGGTTCCCGTGGGGAGGAGGAGAGAGGGGCCAGGGCCGCTGGCGATGACCCTGAGCAAGCCCCTGGTGTCCCCACAGCGTGGTACTTCATGGTCTTTGACTCCATCTTCCTCTCCGTCTACGTGGTGGAAGCTTTGCTCAAGATCATTAGTATGGGCCTCGACTATTTTTATGATTCCTGGAACATTCTGGGTGTGTAGAAATGGGGTGTGTGTGTGTGTGTGTGCGCGCCACTGAACTGCCTAGGAGAGGCTGAAAACACAAGTGCCGGGCAGGGGGTGGCGGTGTGGGAGGGCTGTGGGTCTGGGCTAGGGGCCTGGGCAGGAGCCTGTTACACTCAGGCACCCTGTGCCTTCAGACTTCTTCATCGTGGCCATGGCTGCGCTGGAGTTCACACTCGTGCAGCTCAACTCCCGCTCCTTCCAGCGCACCATCTACAACCCAAACTTCTTCAGGATCTTCAAGGTCTTCAGGAGCCTGCGGGCCCTGAGGGCCGTTCGAGTCCTGAAGAGGCTCAGGTCAGCTGGGCCACAGCTGCCCTCCCTGGAAGGGGGGACAGAGGCCTGGACTCCCGGGGGGGGGGGGGTGTGCTGTGACCTGTTGCAGGGATGGGGGGCGGGGCTGCAGACTCCAGCCTGCTTCTGGCAAGCCTCCTGCGGGTCCATTCTCTTCACTTTCCAGAGAGGGGCTGGGACTCTCCCAAGTCAGGGACTCCTGTGCTCAGTGTCAGCTCTGGCTCCCGGGCACAGATCCCCACCTCCACCGACTCAGCCTCCCTTTCCACCCCTGCCCACAGCTTCCTGACCAGCCTCCAGGAAGTGACCGGGACCCTGGTGCGGTCCATGCCGTCCATCACGGCCATCCTCGTCCTCATGTCCACCTGCCTCTGTATCCTGAGCTGTGGGGCTGGGGTGGAAGATGGCGGTAGGAACCCGGGCAGGGGGGCGGGGTCACGTAGGCCCTGCGAGCCTGGTTCGGCCCTGAACCACCAGTCCTCTTCTCGGTGGTGCTCCGGGGACTGTTCCGCCAATCTGACCCCAAGCGCTTCCAGAACATCTTCACCACCATCTTCACCCTCTTCACCTTGCTGACTCTGGACGACTGGTCCCAAATCTACGTGGACAGCCGGGCCAACGGTGGGGCAGGCCCCGGCTGGATGGCGGGCGGGAGGCTGGCTGGGTGGGCAGACCCTGAGGGCTGGTTACCCCATCTCCAAAGTGGGGCGTTCGATGCTTGCTGGGCGGTGCTGTTGAGGGCCGGCAAGAAACTCACGGTTCCAACTGCCCGCTCTCTCCCAGGCGCCGGGTACATCATCCCCATTCTCATGATTTACATCATCATCCAGTACTTCATCTTCCTCAAGTGAGGGTGCCGCCCCTGCTCCGCTCCCCCCCCCCACCCCGGGGGAGCCCCTCCCCAGCCCCCTCACCCAGAGAAGGGTGCTGCCTCTCCTCCAGCCTCCTCCAGAGTACCCCACTGTCCCCCCTCCAGCCTGGTGATTGCTGTCCTGGTAGATAACTTCCAGATGGCACTGCTCAGAGGCCTGGAGAAAGTGAAGCAGGAGGTATGGAGGGGGTGGCGAGGGACCCGTCAGAGAGACAGGGGAGAAGGCACGGAGGGAGGAGGCTGCTCCAGGTCCCGCAGGCAGGGCCCTGACAGGACCGAGCCTCCTCTTCCCAGAGGGCCGCCCAGATCCAGGCGAAGCTGCTGACTGAATCGCTGATGAAGCTCAACGAAGCAGGTATCGGCCCTCCCCTCCCACAGTCAGACCCGGGATTCCAGGCTGGGCTGCGAGTTTTAGAATCTGAGACTCAGGAAAACGTTCAAAGCTTAGAACTTTGGTCGAAAGAGCACTGAGACCGTCCTCCAAAAGCCAATTAAACTGAGAGTCAATTCTTAAAAGACCGGTTGGTGAAATGACTTGATTAGCCAAATGATGATTTACCAAACACTCGTTTCTGTTAGTAACTTAAGTTTATAGCAGTGGTTTTACATGCATTGGTTTCAGCTGTCTGAGGGCTTTGTCAAGGTCAGATACACACTTGTCCAGAGTCACTGTGTGTAGCAATTTTGTTTAGAATCTGAGCTCCAGAACCCCACTCTTAAGATCATTAACACCAGCCCTGACCAGTTTGGCTCAGTGGCTAGAGCGTCGGCCTGTGGACTGAAGAGTCCCACGTTCGATTCCGGTCAAGGGTATGTACCTTGGTTGCGGGCACATCCCCAGTAGCGGGTGTGCAGGAGGCAGCTGATGGATGTTTTTCTCTCATCAATGTTTCTAACTCTCTATCCCTCTCCCTGCCTCTCTGTAAAAATCAATAAAAAATATATATATATTTTAAAAAAGGATCATTAACACCAGAGGAATAAGGGTCCTCAGGGGTCACCTGGTCCTCCATCTGCCCACTCCATCAGGGACAGACACTCAGTGAAAAAGAGATTAAGCAAAAAGAAAAGTTAATTGGTTCAAATTGTTTAGCAAACCGAGAGTGCAGGGGCTTTCAGGAGCGGCTGGGTCCGGGACTTGAATGGCGGTCAGGATTTGGTCTCCTTCCCTCTCTCCGCTCTGCAGCCCGCTGCACGGTTTTGTGCTTAGAGCGGCCCCTCCTTCGTGGTGGGAAAATGGCCACGCGCAACTCCGATCTCAAACCCTCGGCTTAGCCACCTCTGCACTCCCAGGGGAGCCCTCTTCTCCGGAAGCTCCAGCAACGTCCAGAAATGATTCTCTTTTGCTCCAATTGACCACCTGCATATTTCTGAACCAATCCCTGTAGCCGGAAGGATAGGCTGTTCTGATTGGTCGGGCCTGAGTCTAACCAACAAGATTGCTACACACGCCACGCCTGGAGAAGTGATTTCTTTGAGGGCATCCTGGGCCAAAACTCGTTAGCCCTGTTTGAAAACCTCCCTGACACACGGGGCTCCTCCGCTCCCTCTCGGTCAGGCGCCCCCTTGACCGCCCCCCTTTCTCTGCGTCAGAGCCTGAACAGGTGTTGAGTGAACACAGTAAACAGAAGCTCCTCATCGAGAAAAAATTTGGGGCCATGACCACGAAGTAAGGAGACCTGCAGGGAGGGGAGGCCTTGGGTCTGAGGGGCGAGTGGGGGAGCCTGACCAGTGGGCGGGCAGGGAAAGCAGGTTGCCCACCTCTGTGAGGCCCTGTGAGTCTCCAGGACCACAGATAGGACACAGACTAGCACCTGTGCAGGAGGGCCCTACCCTTAAAGAGCTGTGCAGGGCCATGGAGGGGAGGTGGACTTCAGCCAAGTGGGGGGATGAGGAGGGTGGGCCAGGGAACAGGCTGGTGGGCACCACCTCGTTTCTGTTGACTTGCGTGGTGAGCTGGGGCAGGACAGCTGGGGGTTCAGGGCTGTGCTGTGGCTGGGAGACGTCGGCACAGACTCCTGCTGCCTGGCTCTCGGGCCTGGCTCCCAGAGAGCCTTCTCTCTGAAAACTGGGCCTCACCCCGCTCATCCGGACTGGCTCCAAAGCAGCGGACAAGGCGCCTGCCTCCGGGCACCCTCCCGCTCTCCTCAGCCACCAACACAGGCCAAGCCCCAAAGGCCTTCCGTGATCACGCCTCCGCCAACCTTGTTCGCGGTCATTGCAGCCACTACCACCCCCTCGCACCCTTGCTTCGCCCACACCGTTTCCCAAGCAGAGCACATACCTCTCCACCTCCGGGCCTTTGCCCCATCGTTCTCTCTCCCTGGAATGTTCTCTGGCTGCCAATGCCAGGCTCGGGTGGCCAAGGGCTGGGAGAGCTGAGTTCTAGTCCTGCGCACTTCACCTCCTGGCCCCAGGCCGCCCTCCACGCTCCAGCTCCTGGGCCCTCGGTGCCTCTGCCATACGTTGCTCGGGGGCCTCATGGCCTCCACACTCCTCCCCACCAGCCCACCTCCACCAAGAGTCCTCTGTGTTGTTTTCGTTTGTTTAAATCATTTCCCCCTTTTTCACTTAGAGCGTGATTTCTGTTTTAAAAGCAGTTTCGGCTTTTCTTTCTTCCTCTGATTTTGAAACCCTATGAGGGCTCCTGCCTCCCTGAGGATGAGGCCTGGGCACCTCGCTTTGACCTTTCCGGGGTGTGTCCACCTCCAGTCAGTCCATCCATTCCCCACCCCCCTCCCTGCGGCCTGCCCCTGCCCCCCAGTCTACGCCCTGCTGCTCTGGAAAAGGGAACTGGGGCCTGACTGAGCCTGGCAAACCATCACATCTCTCCAACCCAGCTCAGTGGCACTCCCTCCGTAAGCCCGTCCTCACCCCCACGGGCCGTGCCCTGTGTCAGGTGTATGGGGTACACACACCAGGTTTGCTTTTCTGGCTCCGACACAAACTGCGCTTTTGCAGGCAGGGGTGTTCTTGTTCATTTCTATGTTCCTGGAGCACCTTGTAGTGTAATTGATTTCCGTGTGATTTGGCCGGTGGATTTGTTAGGCGAGCGCTGAAGGCGTTATGAATGGGCAGTAGGGTGGGCGAATGGGTGGGGGTTTAGGTGGATGGCTGACTGCACAGCATGGTGAAGGGGTGGGGTGGGTTCAGGGCAGAGCAGGTGGATGGAGGGATAGGTCAGTGAGTGGAAGGGTGGGGGCGGTGATCGGATGGCAAGTGGATGGCTAGGCAGATGGGAGGAGGGATGGAGGGATGGAGGGTTGGAAGGGTACACAATTAATACCCTCTGTGGTACAGGCAGACTGGGATGGGGGGCAAGGCAGAAAAGTTGTGGCCATGCTGGAAGTGGAGGTCTAGAGTGCTCTGAGTGTGTGTGTAGGGGGGTGGGCAAGCAAGAGCCACCTGGCCTAGCTAGTGTGGCTCAGCGGTTGGGCATCGACCTATAAACCCGGAGGTCACGATTCGATTCCCAGTCAGGGCACATGCTCAGGTTGCTGGCTCGATCTCTAGTAGGGGGTGTGCAGGAGGCAGCCAATCAATGATTCTCATTGATGTTCTAGCTCTCTCTCTCCCTCTCCCTTCCTCTCTGAAATCAATAAAAGATATAAAATAAACAAGAAGAGCCATCTGGGGGGCTCTGGGGGGCTCTGGGGACCAGAGGCCCAGTCAGGCAGGTTGGCCAGGACTCACCGCTGCCCCCCACTCTCCTAGGCAACAGGAGCTCCTGTTCCATTTCCTGCAACTGGCCACAGCGGTGGAGCATTATCAGCAGAAGTTCCGTTCCCAGGCATCCGTCATTGATGAGATTGTGGACACTGTGTTTGAGGTGAATCAGGCAGGACCAGAAGGGAGGGGCCCGAAGGGAGGGGCCGGGGGTAAGGTGACGCTGGAAGGCCAGACGGGGGACTGTGCCCAGAAGGAGCCCTGAGTGACAGTCCCATGGGCGTTGGAAAAGGCAGAGGCTGGTGGCTCAGCCACCCTCCCATCCCACCCCACAGGCTGGCGAAGACGACTTCAGGAAGTGATCCCGGGACAGGGACAGCGGACACAGACTTCAGCCTCTGGCCAGCTGCCCACGGGGTGGGTGGGACAGGTCCCAGACCTGCTGGAATGATTGTCGAGGCCTGCAGAGCTGGACCTCAACAGAGTTTTCAAACCCCAGCAGGCTCTGTGTCCTCACTGTGTCCTCATGGGCACGAGACAGCAGAACGGTGTGTATGCACGTGAGTGTGCACACCCAGGTGTGTGCGTGCGTGTTGCATGCGAAAGGTGCTGTGCGTGGTCTCCTCCAGCCACGCCAGGGCCTGGCATCCTAGCGCGGCCCAGCAGTGGGTTGGCAGCAGCCAGAGGGGTGACCAGGCGCGGTGCTGGAGGGAGAGTGGGCGCCCTGCCTCCGGGAGGAGTCAGGAGAGGAAGAACAAGCTGGAATAGCCCTCTGCTGTCAGGGCATGGGGGACCAGTAGGCTCCGGAAACAGGGCTCCGAGCTCAGGAATTGAGCGCCACCCGCACCTTTAGCGTCCGTTAGGAGGCTATCATGAACCCAGAGGTCCCCACGCGCTTGGGCCTGCGCTGGGTGCTGGAGACCTAGCACTGAGTCGAGCACAAGCCCCACCCTGGCTCTTCCACTATCTACAACACCCCCCTCCTCGCCACTACCTTCACCTCCTCTAGCACAGGGAAGCCATCATGCAGTACAGGCGGAGGGTGTCAGGGGTGGGGCTGAGGGTGACAGACAGTTCTGCCAACCAAACCTGTGCCTCTAAGCTGGGCGTGAGAGTGGCGAAGCTCCAGGCCTCTGGACAGAGGAAGCATCTCCCCTCTCGGCCTGGCCGAGGGCGCCGGCTGGCTCAGGGCCCAGGAAGAGGCTGCGCAGGGGAAATGCCATCTGGGATTTGCGCACAGATTCCGGGGATGGGGAGGCCACCGGGCAGATACCTCCAAGCCTCACCTCACTCCACCACCTCACACATTCATTCAACTAGCATTTCCTCCCGCCTGCCCTATGCCAGCCCCGTGCCGGAAGCTCCAGCTTGGCACACGTGGGAGCCCTTCCAGCAGCCGCCCCACCACATGGCCCTGGGCCGTCTGAGCTGCCACGTCTGACAGGCTGGAGCAGCTGCAGGACGGAGTTCCTCCGGCATCCCTAACGCCTGTCAAACCCAGCCCTCAGCGCCTCAGCCTTCCATGTGGGAGTCACATCTATGTACCACCTCCTCGTCCCCACTTCTGAGACAGAGGGCAGGGCCTGGGAGCTGGGACAGTTCCCCACTAGGTCCCAGCATTGGGCAGGGGACCGGGCAGGCACAGCCTGTGTGAGCCCTGGCCTGCAGGGGGCGCGCTCCACAGCCACTGCGTTCCGTCCTGCCTCGGCCCGATGGTGCCCACACTAGTGCTCCCAAGGGACCCAGTCTCTGCCCGTCCTGTCCCAGGTGTGGGTGTTGGACCGCTCTGGGTTGGAGCGTGTGGGTCCCTGAGGTTATGTGTGTGTGGGTCCGTGTGTACATCTCCAGGTGGTTTCTGGGTGGGAGCGCTCCTGGGTTGCCCGGCGGTTAGTGGTTTCTGGATGTGTGTGTGGTGTGTCCAGGAACATCCGAGGGTGCGTTTTGGGTTTCTCTGTCCGGTGTGCTAAGGAGTTCTGGTGTGTGTGTGTGTGTGTGTGTGTGTGTGAAGTATGACTTGTAGCTGCAAATTCAGGTGTGCATGAAATATTGCAACTCCGTTTGCTCTAAACCGTATCCGCCCCTCATCCCTCCTGGAGGCAGATTTCACCTCAGCCCCTTGGAGGTCCTTGTCCAGCCCCTTCCCGGAACCCTGCTCCGGGCCAAGCACAATGTGTACTTGAGAGTCACTGTCCCAGCCCTCCTGGTCTCGGCCTGCAGGGCTCAGCTGTCTCTGGGCCACACGTGGGTAGAGAAATCTCACAGCCTGGGAGCTGAGTCCTGGGGCCCTGCTGGCTGCCCCCCCCATGCCACCCTGAGTTGCCCAGGGGCTGAGAGGGAGGAGTGCTCAGGTGCTCCGCAGAGTACGCACCAACTCCCCTTTCCTTTGGGGGCACCATCCCTCTCCTGTGACTCTGCCTCCCCTGCCTCCGCTCTGAGAACACTGAGACCTGGAGCTTTGTTCCTGTACATCGGTGATGCTGGGTGTTTGGAGGACTCCAGATTTGGAGCTAACCCTGTACCCCTCAGCACTGTCTGGGCTGGACAGCAGCTCAGCCGGGGGCGGGGAGGTGCTGCCAGGAGTGGGAGTGGAAGACGGGGAGAGGGAGAAGTGAAGCACTCAGAAGAGACCGATGCAAGAAGCAGTGTTAGCGATTTATTGCAGCAGACATGGCCCATGGACCTGAAGCGCCCTCCACCGATGGCCCCGCTCCTGTGGCCGCAGGGGCCTCCTACACGGGCACGCAGTGGTGCTTGAGGAGGCTGGAGGAGTTCTCCCAGGGGACCACTAGGATCTCAAAGTCGCAGCGCAGCTTCTGCAGACAGAGTGTGGGGGGAGAGGCGGGGTGAGCCTGGCCCAGGCCTGCCTCCTCCCGCAGTCAGTGCTGGCCCACCATGAGGGGCAGTCACTGGCCCAAGAGACAACAAAGCTAGATCCCAGATCTTCCCAGTCAACTCTCCAGGGGGAACCCCCATCTCCTCTGCACCCCACCCTGACCTGGCGCTGAGTCACCCAGAAGGCAGGGAGGGGTTCAGCCCGACATCAGTCTGGCCGGCCAGACCAGTTCAAGCTGGACAACCTGAGGGCCCGGGTGCCGGTGGGCAGGGCCGAGTGCAGGGCTCTTACCTCCTCCTGCACCCCTGCGGCCAGGGGGCAGGTGGTGAGGTCCATGCGGTCTCCAGTCACCGAGCTCTTGCGGCAGGCTGTGCTCCCCATCTCCACCGTCAGGTAGTACTTAATGCCAGCCACCAGCTGGGACGGAGGGCAGGGCAGGTCAGGGGTGCTGGGACACGCCCTCCCGCCTCTCTCACCGCCTCCCATCTCCCATGCCCTTCCCCTGGCCACCAGCACACTGGCCTGGGGATTCAGACCTGGGGCAGGTCCCCGGGGGAGAGGCCGAGGCCCCGGCCAGGCAGGAGGCTGCCCAAGCGCACCCCATCCTGAAGCCCACTGCCTCGTCTCCCCCACCTCCCTTCCCAATTAGCTGGGCAGCAAAGGGACTGGTGTGAAGCTGGTGAGGTAGCTGAGCAAGGTCAGGGGTAGATTCTATTTGAAATTTAGATATTTGGTTCATTGTGAAATTTTGGCATTAATTCAATTTTTAAAAATATATTGGTGGACTCTCCTGATTACTCTTGTGACTCTGCCTTCATCTGGCGCCCGGCTGCGCGCCCCCCTCGCTCTGTGCCGCCAGCCCAGACGCACCTGACTCTGCGCCTTGAGGATGCGCGTGTCTCGGAAGTAGTAGAGGCTGTTGCTGCCCATGTTGTAGCTGGCCACGGCCGCCTGGGCCGCCTTCTGCACCTGTGGGTCAGTGGGCTTCAGGTCCGTCACTCCTCCTACCATGCGCTCCCCGGGCCGGGCGCGGGCATCGCGGGGCAGCGCCAGCAGACAGAACGCGAGCAGGGCCAGGCCCAGCGCCAGCGAGAGCTTGGGCTGCGCCATCGTCCTCAATGCGGGACCCAGGTGCTCCGCCGCTTTTACGGCTCCGGTTCTCCGAGGCTCCGCCCGACCACGCCCGGCCCCGCCCCGCGTGGGGAGGGGGAGGGATCGCTGGCTGGGACCTCTGGCCAGGCCCCCTTCCCAGCACCAGCACACCTGTGTACCCCACGCTTGCCCTGCCCTGCGGGGCACACCCAGTCCTGCGAGGGAAGGGACAGTGGCAGCCCCCAGCAAGGGCCACCATCCGGACAGTTCACAGGAGGCCCGTCCAGTGTGAAATACCCACAACCGCTATGAGAAGCTCTCACTCTCACCATTTACTAACTGTAACCTCTCACTGCGTGGGTTTCCTCCTCCGGAAAAGGGGGTGCTGTGAGGGTTCCGTAGGTAAAGGGCTTGGAGAGGCCTGGTACTATGGTAATGAGTAGCAGGTAAGCAGGGGCCTTGCTGGGCTGAGCTGGGTGCTGTGTGACCCTCACAACCAGCATGAAGTGGGAATCCACGTGTCCACTTAACTGGAGGAAACAGGCCACAGGAGGCCACTGACTTGCCCAAGGACCCCAGCCAGTGAATGACAAATGGTGATGCTGGCTTTGAGCCCCAGCAGGCTGTCCAATCTTTGCTCTTAAACCAAACTGAGACCAAAGGATGAGAACTGGCCAGGAGGGGTGTATGTCATACCAGCTCTGCCGGTGACTGACTGGGTGACTTTTGACAAGTCCCGGGAGCTCTGAGAGCCTGTCCTCATCTTAAGAAAGGGGACAATTATCTTCTAAGGCTATTCTATTCATGGCCCCAGACTGGTCACCCATAGGCAAGCTGGGCGTGTGCTGGAGGTACCAGCACAACAGGGCATGTAACTCTTGGGAGGAATAACCTGATAATGCATAAAAACACCGAAGCGACCATGGGAGAAGTCTGGATTTTGTTGAGATTCTTCCTCTGTTTTACAGCAATCAGTACAGTCTGTACATGGCCGGGGGGAAGCAGGCCTTTGCCCTTAGGACACTAAGATTTGGTCAGTGCTTAGGGTCTAGGATCTTAATTGGGTCTTGGAAGAGACAGTATGAGACAAACAGTTGGTGCTTAATAAGTGGTAATTAGAGTTGACCCTTGAATGACATGGGTTTGAACTGCATGAGTCCACTTACACATGGATATTTTTCAATAAATACTGTAAATGTATTTTCTCTTATGATTTTCTTAACATGTTTTCTCAAGCTTATTTCTCAAGTGTAAGAATATAGCACATAATATATATAAAAAACAAAATATGTGTTAATGGAGTGTTTATGTTAATGGCTTCTGGTCAATAGTGAGCTATTATTTGGGAAAGTCAAAGTCATATTCTTTTTTTAAAAAATCTTTATTGTTGAAAATATTACATGGGTCCTCCTTTTCCCCATTAACCTCTTCCAGCTCACCCCATCCCCCGCTTCGAAGGCCTCACCACCCCAGTCTGTGTCTCCGGGTGATGCATATATGCATACAAGGTCCTTGGTTGCTCTCTTCCCACCCACCCTCCCCTCCTTCCCTCTGAGGTTCAACAGTCTGTTCATGTTTCTATGTCTCTGGGTCTATTTCTGATCATCAATTTATTTGGTTCATTAGATTCCACATATGAGTGAGATCATGCGATACTTATCTTTCTCCGACTGGCTTATTCCGCTCAGCATAACACTCTCCAGGTCCATCCAGGCTGTTGCAAATGGTAAGGGTTTTCTTTTTTATTGCCACATAGTATTCCATGTGTAGATATACCGCACATTTTTTATCCACTCATCTGCCGATGGGCACTTAGGCAGTTCCCAAATCTTAGCTATTGTAAATTGTGCTGCTATGAACATGGGGGTGCATATATCCTTTCTGTAGAGATAGATTTTTAACGGGGGGTTGTCACTGTTCCTAACCCCAACTTGTTCAAGGGCCAAGTGTACTGAGGAATGAGTCAGCACCCAGCATTCCCCAGGACCAGCGTGTGGTCACTGCCCGGTCCAGCTGCTACCCCACCCCCTCAGCCCAGGTGTGAAAACAATCTTGGGATTCCAAGGAGCTGTCTCAGGTTTGTTGTGGGCTCAGGTGTCTGCCTTAAAGAGACAGACCCAAGTTTGTGGGAAAGCTGGCTGGCTTGATGAGGAGGCCAAGGCCAGGCAGGAACCTGACCCGAGAGAAGCCGGGAGCGGGGAGAGTAAACACAGGACACAACACAGGGAGCGGGAGGCGAGGCAGCCCCACGGGGCCAGGAGCCTTCTCAGGCTCTGGCAGGTCTGCTCTCCTGTTACATCAGGTTCGGCCATGACCACGCTTACCCCCAACTGCTCCCTGGAGCATCAGCCAAGGCCCAGTCCCCGGCTCACTTGCCCCTACCTTACCTGTCACTCACTCCTCCGATGCACCCCAACCTAACAATGGCCAGACCTTTCACCCACTGGGCTGTTCTCACAGCCGCAAAGCAGTAAGCATCCCCCTCATTTTGCAGACGAAGACAGTTAATCCGGGGTCAGGACACTTGTTTAAGGTCAGACAGCTAGCCGCAGCGTAATCATGTTGCTGGGGGGAAGCAGGCCTTTTGCCTTAGGACACTAAGATCTGGTCAGTGCTTAGGGCCAAGGATCTTAATTGGGGCTTGGAAGAGGTAGTGGGGGAAAGGATGGGGGAAGAGAAGTTAACAACTACTGGGCCCTCGCTACGTGCCAGGGACTCATGTTCATTCATCTTAACAGTTCTGCAGAGGCAGTGAATATGTCCTCTTTTTAGAAGGAAGAAATGGGGGGTCAGGGGGGAGGGTCAGTGGTGGAGTCTGGGGTGCCACCTGTGTCAGCATCCGCTGTGAATCCTGGATGGCTCCAGCAGAATATGAGGTCTGCTGTGCAGGGGAGCACCCCTGGAGGGGGGGTACCCGGGAGAAGAGCCCATAGCCTGGACTGCACCCTGTCTGGACCACTCTGGCTTCCAGAAGGGGCTGAGCCAGGTGTGAGCTTGGTCCGGGTTGGCCATCCCCACTGGCCACAGGGCACAGCCTCCAGCTTTGCTGTGGCCCAGACATCCCAATCCCGGTTGCCCGTGGCACCACTCTCTCACCCCTAGACAATGGGTCTCACTGCCCAGGATGGACCCTTGCCATTCCCTTCACCCTGGGATCAGGCCTTCATTCTGTGCCCCAAACCCTCACTGAACCCTCACCCTTCATTCTCCCCTCCCCAGGGCTCGGCTCCCCTTTCCCTGTCGGACCGCATCCTGGAAAGGAGCCCCATGGCAGGAAAGCTGTGAGCCAACAGCGATTAACTCCCCGCCGTGGGGGGGCTCCCCTGGTGCAGGGGCTTCACATCCGTTAGCTGGTTGAATCGTCACCGTCCTGCACAGCTGAGGGGAGGCCGAGCTCAGGGCAGCGAGGCACCTCGCTTCAGGCCGCACAGCAGATAGAGAAGGAACTGAGACCCGAACTGGGCCCACCCGGCTCTTTCAGGCACCACCAGTCAAGGTGAGGAGTAACAGTGGACAGAGCCCTGGGCCCCTGCAGGGAGGCGGCGATGTGGAAGGGGGGGTGACAGTGGAGAACACATACTGGGAGCTTTTCACACTATCTGGGCTGCCACCGGGCAGATGTCTTGGGCTTGGGTTCATCCTGTCGCCTCCCCGTTTCCTTTCCAGAGCCAGCAGGGTTCCTTCAGGACCCCAGCGCGCATGGTTGGGCCCGATCTGAGGACTCAGGACTAGACTGGCTGAGGGGGTCAACTCTGGCTGGGTGCAGCTGCAGCAGGGGTGGCTGGGACAAAGAGTGAGTCAGCATTTGCTGACTTCCAGGCCCACCCATGCTCGCCAACAAAGCACGTCCTGTTGGGCAATGTGGGCTGACATTTAGATAACCTGATTGCTACCCATCCCCACCTCGGTCTGTGTTCCCCAACAGCCCAGGCCCGGAGCCTTTTGTCACACGGGCTGCGTCGGGGCTGGTTTCTGAAAGGCCAGTCACAGCGTACGTTCTAGATGCCTTTTGTCTCCTGCTGCTCCAGGACTGATCCAGGAAGCTGTGTGGGAAGGGACCCAGATAAAGAGTGTGGGCCTTTCCAACCTGCCGCAGGTCCTGCCGAGTCCCAGGGAGAGGTGCGAGAGCAGGTTCCAGCCCCTCGGAGACAAAGCCTGTGGGCAAGGTGGGAGAGCCCACGAGGAAGCAGAAAGCAGCAGAGCGGCCGCACGTCCCACTGATTTCTGCTGAGGCCCCAGTGCCAGAGCCACGGCGGCAAAACCGGGCAGGCAGCGTGGGAAGGACCCCTGGGAAGGCTGCTGTGAAGGAAGAGCCAGTCTCCCTCACCTCGGAGTGCCAACAACACTCTGGCAGTCGGGGCTGAGGTGGGGGAGGCTGTGGCCCTGCTGGGCACTCAGGCCTGTGTGGCAGCATCACAGCACAAGGGTCAGGGTCCCTGGTCGCATCCAGGAAAACAGCAGAAACACAGCATGGCCTGACACTCCTGGGACAGCCCGCGTGACCACCTCAGTCTGGGCTTCAGACTGGCAGCCTCCCAAGTGGCCTGTAACACCAGCCGGGCCCTGCTCTGGCCACCTGGTGACTTTCCAAGGGGCCATCGCGCTTCCCAGAGCCAGCCCTGCACCGAGCCCTCACCCCTACGAACCACCAGTTTCCAACTACTCGCGGTCGCTCTACCCCAGGGTCTGTATTTTTGTCTCCCTTTTCTTCTATTCCGAGGTGTAGCTAACGTACAGAAAAGTACACAGAGCGTATCTGCTCACTTTAACAAATAATTAGCCAATCCGGTATTACCACCACATAGGTCTGAGGTGGAAACTGCCACTCCCACCCCCAGGCTTCCTACTCATCACACCCACCTCCTGCCCCCAAAGGTGATCACTGTTGATTTTTGCAATAAGCTTTTTTCTAGTTTTACCACCGAGGCAGAGATTCCCAAGCAAGAATTTACTGCACTTTACAAGAATGGAATCACATTACTGGATGTTTCCATTGTTTGCTTAGTTTTGAGATTCTACCCTTGTACACAGCGAGTTCATGTTCACTGGTATTGACAGCCATTAGCTGTTCCCGTTGGGGGCTGTTATAAACAAAACTGCTGTCGAGGTTCCCAGCGGTGTGGGAGTCCTTGGTCATAGTCCCCGGGAGTGGAGTGTTGGATCATAGGGTGGGTTCCCAGTTTTGCTAGAAAACTCGTCTTTCCCCAACTGTCTTTACATTCCCACCAGCTGGGTATCAGTTCCTGTTGTTCCATTCCCTCATCAGCCCTTGGTAATGTCTGACTTCAAAATTTTTGCTAATCCAGTTTAGCAAAATAGCATCTCACTTGTATTTCTGACTCCAAGTGTAAACACCTTTCCACAGGTTTATTCATTTGGGTATCCCTCAGGGCTGCCTTTCAATATATTTTTATTGATTTTAGAGAGGAAGGGAGAGGGAGAGATAGAACATCAATGATGAGAATCATTGATGGGCTGCCTCCCGCATGCCCCCACTGGGGATCAAGCCTGCAACCCAGGCATGTGCCCTGACCGGGAATCGAACTGTGACCTCCTGGTTCATAGGTTGGCGCTCAGCCCGAGCCACGCTGGCGGGCCATTTGCTTTTCTTCACTGCAGTTCTGCCTGTGCCCTGGTGAAGCCCTTTTCGTTTACGGGCTGCACATATGCCTTCCCACTCGGCTTAGTCTTGCCCTTCACTGTTTACAGTATTTTTAGATGAACAGTTTCTATTAATGGAGTTGACCAACTTTTTCTTCTTAAATTTTCCCTGAGATCATGAAACTCTTCTCATAGTATCCACTTTAGTATTTAATATCTGTCCGTCTCTCCTGTCCAGACTGTAAGTCCTCTTGTGACAGCAGAGGGGGTACCATCTGAACTCCATTCTGACAGAAAGAACTCATCTTAGAGGCCCATTATTCCTTGCTTTCAGTGAAATTCCATGTTCAGATGAACCGAACCACACGCTTAAAGGAAAGACTGTCCGATAAAATAGTGGGGCTTTCCCTCCAGTTGTGCCACTGAGTTATATAACTCAGAGTATGTCTTCACACACTGCACTTAAAATGTTCATGGCTTACCCTAGCCCAGTGATGGCGAACCTATGACACGCATGTCAGAGGTGACACGCGAACTCATTTTTTTGGTTGATTTTTCTTTGTTAAATGGCATTTAAATATATAAAATAAATATCAAAAATGTCTTTGTTTTACTATGGTTGCAAATATCAAAAAGTTTCTATATGTGACACGGCACCAGAGTTAAGTTAGGGTTTTTCAAAATGCTGACATGCCGAGCTCAAAAGGTTCGCCATCACTGCCCTAGCCGGTTTGGTTCAGTGGATAGAGTGTCGGCCTGTGGACTGAAGGGTCCCAGGTTCAATTCCGGTCTAGGGCACATGCCCAGGTTGTGGGCTCGATCCCCAGTAGGGGGGCGTGCAGGAGGCAGCCTATCAGATTCTCTCTCATCATTGATGTTTCTCTCTCTCCCTCTCCCTCTCTCTCTGAAATCAATAAAAATATATTTTAAAAATATATACTCATGGCTTTTTTTTTTTAATATTGCACTTTGACCCAGCCATCACACCATGAACCTCTGACACAAGGCTAGGGCAGATAACTCGGTTAGTATCAAGTGCTATAACATCCTTTCTGAACATCATATTCTGCAAAATAATTGTTCTGTCAAATGGTAACTAGAATATCTGCATAAGCATTATTTTATGGGCCCTATGAGTGGTCCACTGACCCCCGAAAATACCTCGGAATCAACCGTTGCCAGGTGACAATGGTGGGACAACTGCCTCATCCTCATTCCCCAGCCCTATACCCACGCCAAGGCCCCTACACCTCTGGGGGCTCGACTCCTCTTTTCTGCTCGACTCCCTTGTGCACAAGCTCTTTTCAATAAACTCCATCTGCTTGATCTTGCACTGAGTTCAGTGCTCATTCCTACGACACGAGACTCAGGAACCTGACAGTAACACACTGAGGAAAACTCTGTAAGCAATAATTCCTCCTTTTCTCCTGAAGGAGAAAGTCAAGCAGGGCTGGGTGCTGCACAGCTAGCATGCCATCTGGTCATTACCACAATCTCATTTTCCAAGTGGGGAAACTGAGGCTGAGAGGTTGAGTGACATGGCCAAGAAACACAGGGCTCTCTGGTACATGGGAATCCAAATGGTTTTGAGGGCCAGTCTGGGTACTTCCTACCAGTAAGTCATGAACATACTAGTCTCTCTGAGCCCTGGTTTCCCCCCATCCGTGAAAGAGAAAACGGCTACTTATTATTGTGGAAGAAAAAGTGGTTGGAAAAATCTTAGCTGTGGGCCCGGTTCACAAAGTGTTCGAGAACAGGATGGAAGTGCACCAGCGTGTAATTCACAGCCCGCCCAGCTCTGCAACCCGTGGTCTTTGCTTCCCTAAGACAGCAGGGCAGAGGGCAGAGCCCCGCCCACTCCTCCAGAGGCCAGGAAACACCACGATTAACCGGTGAACTCTTACCCGTATCGGCTCCCCCTCTTCCTAATACCTCCGACTCCCACTGACTTTTCCACCAGGTGCTGCCTAGCCCAGCTGTTGACTCAACCGACATCTGGAACACCACAGCCCATCTGGATCCAGGAAGGATCAGCCCACACGCTCCCACATTACTAAGGGATTGAGACACTCCAGGCACCTGTCCGAGGCTTGCGTGACGAGGGTGGCTGTCCTCTGGAGTGAGGAGGAAGCTGCCAGTTTCGATCTGCACTGATAAGAAGTACGCAGACCTGATCAGTCCCTGGGAAAGTGGCGACTCCCAGCCCACCTGCTTTCAAACCACACAGCCCAGTATTGGAAGGCCACTGACTTTATTGATTTAAAAAACTTTATGTGGACAGTGACTGTTTTGCCAAAAGAGAAGCCAAACGTCATTAAACAGACCAGGGGTGAGGGTAGGGGCCAGAAATCCACTCAGAAAAGCTGATTATCGACCCGAAACTGGCAGGGGAAAGAGGAGGGAGATGCATGCAAGAGTGAGAATTCCAAAAAAGTTGAAATGGTGAGGGGAGAGAACTCCCCCAGAGACCCGGACATCGGTGGTGAGCAGACAGCAATCGCTTCCTTGGTAGAGGACAAGGGAGTAGCCCCCACTCAGCTGCAAACTCTGAAGACTCGAGGCTGGCGTTAGGGACGGGGGGCTCCCCAGAGAGCATCACAAGAAGGCGTCACACCACTCTCGAAGGCACCCAAAGCAGTCCCGGGACTGCTTGGCGTTGGCGCCACATGTGTCCTTTAGCCACTCCCGGAAGAGGTCTTCGTCTTTCTTTAGCACCAGAAACTGGCCAAGGACCACATAAGCCTGCAAAACAGGCAAAGCACAGGGCAAGCTGCTCAGTGATCCGTGAAACTCAAGACAATAAGGCCACGTGTGTGGCCTTCAAACCCCATGAGCCTAGGACAGTGGTCAGCAAACCGCGGCTCGCGAGCCACACGCGGCTCTTGGGCCCCTTGAGTGTGGCTCTTCCACAAAATACCACGTGCGGGCGCACACGTACAGTGCGATTGAAACTTCATGGCCCATGCGCAGAAGTCGGTTTTCAGCCTGGGTGAGTCTATTTTGAAGAAGTGGCGTTAGAAGTGGGGGTACGTTCGCTGAGGTCGACCCCTCAGATTGAGGACGCTTTTAGCAAAGGCCAGCTTAGGAGTATCCTAATTAAGTTAATAACAATGTACCTACCTATACAGTTTAAGTTTAAAAACTTGGCTCTCAAAAGAAATTTCAATCGTTGTACTGTTGACATTGGCTCTGGTGACTGATGAGTTTGCCGACCACTGGCCTAGGAGGAAGGGCAGGCTCCGGCTCCCTCCGCAGATTCTATGCCTCTGCCCACCCTGCGGGCACACTCACTGTCCTCCCTCCCTGCCCACCCCCAGCGCTCCCCCCTCCCCAGGGGCACGCAGCCGCCCACACCTTGTCAAAGCCCCTTTCCTCCAGCTTCTTGCCCAGGACTTCGCCGATCCCGGCCAGGCTCCCCACTGGCTTTTCCCCCATGGGCTCTGCCACGAAGTCTCGGTGCTTTTGGGAGGTTGTCATCTTGATCAGGATTAATCTGGGAATCCCAAGGAAAGGTAGGTTAGGGCTGAAAACCCGGAGACGCCCGAGGGCCCACTGGCCCAGGTCTCATATTAAGAGAATGTTCAGCCCTGACTGGTTTGGCTCAGTGGATAGAGCGTCGGTCTGCGGACTGAAGGGTCCCGGGTTCGATTCCGGTCAAGGGCATGTACCTGGGTTGCGGGCACATCCCCAGAGGGAGATGTGCAGGAGGCAGCTGATCGATGTTTCTAGCTCTCTATCTCTCTCCCTTCCTCTCTGTGAAAAATCAAATTAAAAATATATTTTAAAAAAAATATATATATATTTTTATTTGTTTTTTTTACAGAGAGGAAGGGAGAGAGATAGAGAGGAAGGGAGAGAGATAGAGAGCTAGAAACCTCGATCCAGCTGCCTCCTGCACATCTCCCACTGGGGATGTGCCCGCAACCCAGGTACATGCCCTTGACCGGAATCGAACCCGGGACCCTTCAGTCCGCAGGCCGACGCTCTATCCACTGAGCCAAACCGGTTTCGGCAATAAAATATATTTTTTTAAAAAAGAGAGAACGTTCAGCCAGCCATACGGTGGCTTACTCGATTCCCCTCATTTCACGGGTAAGAAAACGGAGGTCCAAGAGGAGTTTTCCCCCCTCCTCCACTCTTCGAGAGAGCAACCCCCGCCCCTGCCTGCGGGGAGTGTTTTTGTGAATCGCCCAGAGGAAAGGCTATCCTGCCTATCAGGCGGCGCGCGCGGGGCAGCGGGAAAATCCCCTTCAGCAGCCGGCTCGCCCCGAAGGGGTCACTCCCTCCGTGACCTTGGCTGCGAAATGAAGGCACTGACTGACCGGAACGGCCACCGGGCACGAAAGCACACAAAGGGTCCCTCTGCCCCACCCGCCGCCCCGGCTGCTCACAGGCTCGCGCCGCAGCGCGCACCAGCTCCCCGCCCCGCCGGGTGCACG